ATCCAGGCAACAGCTGAGTTCTTGTGTTTTGGCGAGGTGTCGAGAAATGCTCACACAATTTGTGTTGCATACACGTGGTATGTAACGTCAAAGTTTTACCCGTCCGCCGGGGGATCCAACAGCTGGTCCAGAGGCCACTTGCGTATCGCTCTTATGCTGAGTGGGGAGACGTGACCCGCTTCATACATTTCAAGACCAGCCCAACCTATCATTGCAGCATTGTCGGTGCAGAACTTGGGCGGTGGAAAATGCAACTCAACATCCGGATAACCATGGGCGCAAAGCGTCTTCGCAAGTCTTACAGCCGTTAGCATCCCAGTCGACGAAATTATGTGTTCTCGCTACTGCAGGCAGACTTACATGTGCCGGAGAAACGAGTTGGCAGCCACGCCACCAGCCATGACAACCGCAGGCACGGCTAGAGTATCTTCTTGAGTCTGCAAGCCTAGAACTACTCGGGAAGCGACATGCTCAAATGCTGCGCGCATGGTCTCGCGTGCAAGATCCATGCGCTCTTCAAGGCTAACGTCTGCCGCCGTTCGCTCGACTTTGTTGAATTTTCTACTGACCGGATCCATGCCAAACCGAACGATGCGCTCAACCATTGTCGTGATACCTGAAAAGCTCAGCTCAAGACTGTTGATCTTGACACCTCCACCTGATTTAGTCAAGGGCCGATTGAGTGCCCAGCCCCATTTTGTCGCGCTCTTCTGCATAGCGTCTTCATGATTCAAAGGAACTTGGTACCAATCGTATAGGTGTCCATGAGTATCCAAGTATGTCTTGGCTGAATAGGTTGGTGGCCTCGTTACATGGGTTGATGCGTCGTCAGGTATTGACTTGCGGGAGCGATCGGGCAACGAGAATGCCTCGAGGAGCGCTCCATACATGGTGCTCTTTGAGGTTTCTAGTAACTCTGTAGGCAGCACTACACGAGCGATCTTGTCCAAACACTCTCCCGCAGCAATGTCTTTTGTAGAACCCAGCACGCGGTGGTCCGTCAAAGACGCCGAGTGTATGAGCAGCGTATGACCACCTGAGGCGAGGATGGATAGGAACGGGAACTTTGGCGTGGTTTGTATCGACGTCGAATCGTAGATGCCGCTGTGTTCAGGCTCGATCTGGGCTTCGAGGGCGCTGACCATGCGTGGCGTAAGCGCATGAGCCTGCATGTGGTGGACTCCGACGAGAGGTTTCTAGTATCGCTATCAGCAGCAAGTCCGTAGAGAGAAGCTCGCGCAGTACCTGCCATGCTACAGCGAGTCCCTTGGCGGTATCAAGACCCGTGAAGAGATTACTGCGCATGCCTGGCCCACGAGTGACAGACACAAAATCAGGCAGCCTTCGTGTCGCGAGATCGACCGTGCTTGCTTGCGCATCTTCTGGAGGAATCTCTCCATCTCGCATCGGCAGAGAGCGCATAGCTTCATGGAGAAGCATAGCCAGGTTTTCTTGGTGCGACAGAAGGGACACCAGCGGGTGAACGCCCTGATAGACGGCATTGTCCGATGTCACTTTCTTGTGGAAGTGCAACTGCGCTGTCGTCCGGCCGTGCCGAGTCTCTTTTTCCACTATGGCGACCGAGGTATCATCGCAAGACGTCTCGATGGCCAGCGTCATCAGACAGCGGCGAGGCCTCCATTGCGGGGGCGGAAGGATTCGCGATCGGACGACGGCTTGGAGTGTTCTGCATCGAGGTCGCATGCCTCGCAGGTCGGCAAGGGCTTGGTGTCGGCGAGACGTGGTGTTGATGCACAATTCTGCATTACCGGCGGAAGGGTTCCGAGCGGCCTGGGCCCTGTGACGTACTGGCTAGCACCCGAAGCTTCGAGCCTCACATGCCAACACGCCCATTTGACATCACCTGAGTCGTCTCCCCTAACCGTCTCGACGATGCGATTTACACCCGACGTTTCTCCCCCTCATGGCTGACGTAGACAAGAAGACGGATGGCCCCGAGCCATATTCCTCGACGGGCTTCGACTTCACCCTATTGCCCGACTACGCGAACGACTTTGTCGAAGAAGACCATTTTATCGAATTCGAGAAAGCCCTCGCTGCGCCTGAGAATTCACCATCCACCGAAGACCTCACGGCTCTGCCGCCCGATCGAACCTTCATCTCCGCCCAAAACGACTGGCGGCCGGTCCACCAGCGCGTCAAGCGGCGCAAGAAGAGCAAGGCGCCCCCGCGACGCGGCAAGGACGAGACGCGCGAAGGCTTCGTCTATGTGCTGCTCAAGTGGCCGCTGCTCCTGGTCGTGCTTGGGTGGCTGTTCTTCCTCAGCATCGCCTACGTCTTTACTCGCCTGTACATATACCTATACGAGCACTGGATCACATGGCGAGGCACACGGCAGAGACTAAGGCAGCGGCTGCAGGATGCGCGATCCTACCAAGAGTGGATTGAGGGCGCAAAGGAGCTCGACGCATATCTGGGCAACGAGTCGTGGAAGGAGAAGGCCGACTATGCCTATTACGACAGCAAGACGATTGCAAGAGTACACCAGCAGATGGTCAAACTGCGGGAAAAGGCCGAAGCAGAAGAGAAGAGCGGGCCAGGATCAAAAGCCTCACAAGGCCAACACACGGCTGTCGAGGACCTTCGTGCGCTCCTAGAAGGTAAGCGCCCCGTCTTTCCCACGCCGCAGAACATATCTAACGTCGCATTTAGCCTCCATGAAGAACAACTTCGTCGGCTTCGAGAACCCCCGACTGTACAGCGAGACGTACTACGGAACCAAAGACCTCGTCCAGAAATTCGTCGACGAAGCCGAGACGTCGCTCACTTTCCTCCTGCAAACCACACAGCTCGATGCAGAGAACAAGCGCGCCCTGTTCAAACACCTCGGCAGCAACTTCGGTCGTACTGCGCTATGTCTGTCTGGAGGAGCGACATTTGCATACTACCACTTCGGTGTGGCCAAGGCTCTGATGGACGCCGAATTGCTGCCCGAAGTCATTACTGGTACATCTGGTGGAGCTCTCGTGGCCGCACTACTATGCACGAGGACCGACGACGAACTCAAGAAATTGCTCGTACCCGCTCTGGCTCATCGCATCACGGCTTGCCACGAAGGTATTCTTACATGGTCAAAGAGATGGTACAAGACTGGAGCGAGGTTCGACAGCGTCGATTGGGCAAAGAAGTGCGCCTGGATGACTCGTGGCAGTTTGACGTTCAAGGAAGCATATCAAAGGACTGGACGTATACTGAACGTCTCTTGTGTGCCCTCCGACCCCCATTCCCCGACCATCTTAGCCAACTACATCACGGCTCCGGACTGTGTTGTCTGGTCAGCAGTTCTCGCATCTGCTGCCGTCCCTGGAATTCTCAACCCCGTCGTCCTCATGAAAAAGAACAAGGACGGCACTCTTTCACCCTACTCTTTTGGACACAAATGGAAGGATGGAAGTCTCCGAACGGACATTCCACTGAAAGCGCTGAACCTGCACTTCAACGTCCGATTTTCAATCGTCAGCCAGGTCAACCCTCATATCAATATCTTCTTCTTCTCATCCCGTGGCTCGGTTGGTCGACCTGTCACCCATCGCCGTGGACGCGGATGGAGAGGTGGTTTCCTTGGTTCCGCCACAGAGCAGGTACGTCAACCACACAACGGACTCTCAATACGCATGCTAATCAATTGATTCAGTATCTCAAGCTCGATCTTAACAAATGGCTAAAGGTGCTTCGCCATCTCGAGCTTCTACCGCGACCACTAGGCCAGGACTGGAGTGAACTCTGGCTGCAACGCTTCAGTGGGACCATTACCATCTGGCCCAAGTCCATACCTTCAGACTTTTTGTATATCCTCACGGACCCAACCCCAGAGCGACTAGCACGCATGATACATGTTGGCCAACAGTCGGCTTTCCCCAAGCTGAAGTTCATCGCGAATCGTGCGAAGTTGGAATATGCCATTCAGGAAGGAAGACGGAGATTCAGACCTCGTGGGGCACGCGATGACGAAATTGTCAACACTCTCAGCGAAGAAGACCTTCGTAGCTTGCTCAAGCGCACAGGGAGCGATGGCCCTGACGGTGGGTCTCTATACCCAGCTTCAGAATCAGAGTCCTCCTCCACTGCGGGACCATCGCGGCCCAGCTCGCCCGTAAATCTCCCTCTTGGCCTTACATTCGCTCGTAAGAAGAAGAACGCGCCAGCTGATCTAGCAAACACTACTGAGAAGCCAGACGTCCCCGACAGTCCATCGTTGGGGAAACGATTGAGTGGATGGTGGTCCGCTATGTCTCCTCAAGCTACTACACACTCTACAGCCCTCAGAGCCCGTCCCCGTGATTCGCCATTCAGTCACGATCGTCCTAATTCGATGTTCGAGTTCCGACCAAGCGGCGACATTATAGATGTTCCTACGGGAAGAAAGCAGAGTAGGGTTTTCGACGACTCGGATGATGCCGAGGGAAGCCAAGATGTATCAAGGCGCAGACAGCAGCACAAAGGAGGCATGTTTGGCGACACCGATGCTGGTATGAAAGACGCTGAGGATCATGGCGAGGCAGCAGATTTTGGGGACGATGAGGAAGACCGAGACGAAGTGCAAAATGTTGGAGTGGGTCTTGGTCTCGAGGGGCAGGGTTTATAGATTGCCTACCTTCACCTTATACCTAGATTAGAATGTAAAAATATTAATGGCACAGTTATTTATCTTTAGCTTATGACACGCTTCTTTCAACGCCGCGAAAGCCGTATAGAACGTAGACAGTGTGTATGAAGGCATGATCTAGCACCATCAAGCATCTTGCCTCATAATGACTCTTTGATCTTTTCTTAAGACTTATATCTCGCACATGTCCGGATGCTCTTGCGACCATGCTAGCGCTTATGCACGTGATAGTCGCGTTTGGTAGGCTTGGCATGTCGTCATCGAGAACACGCTCTGAACGCGCGATCACACGGCAGCCTGCGCCTGTCAGAAATCAACTCGACGACCACTTCCACCCCTCCAAACAGATGGACAACGCCCCCAGAAGAGCGCCATGGGTGTCACTGGCCTCTGGACCGTTCTGCAGCCCTGCGCGCGGCCGATCAAGATCGAAACGCTGAATAAGAAGCGCCTCGCCGTCGATGCCTCCATCTGGATATACCAGTTCCTCAAGGCCGTGCGCGACAAGGAAGGAAACGCTTTACGGAACAGCCATATTGTCGGTTTCTTTCGCCGAGTATGCAAGCTTCTCTTCATCGGCATCAAGCCCGTCTTCGTCTTCGATGGCGGCGCACCGGCGCTGAAGCGACAAACCATCAACAACCGCAAGTCGCGACGTGAAGGTAGACGAGAAGATGCGGTCCGGACAGCTGGAAAGTTGCTGGCTATACAAATGCAGAGGGCTGCTGAGGAGGAGGAGAAGAGGCAGAAGGAAGCTGCAAAGCACCCAAGGGAGGAGCCACCGCAACAGGAGGAAGAGATACCCGACAATCTGGTCTATGCGGAGGAACTTCTGCAGACGCCCCAGGAGCGAACAGAAAATCGCACCTTCAAGAAGAAGGATCAGTATCACCTTCCAGACCTCGGCAAGTCCATGTCGGAAATGGGTGCTGCGAATGATCCCAGGGTCATGTCGCTCGAAGAGCTGGAGGAGTACGCACGTCAATTTGACAGAGGCGAAGATATCAATGTCTATGACTTCTCCAAGATTGACTTCGATGGTCATTTCTTCCAGAGCCTGCCTCCGGCTGATAGGTACAATATCTTGAACGCAGCCAGGCTACGAAGTCGACTCAGGATGGGACACTCAAAAGAACAGCTTGACGCAATGTTTCCCGACAGGATGGCCTTCTCCAAGTTCCAAATCGAGCGTGTGCGCGAACGTAACGAACTTACGCAGCGATTGATGAACCTCAACGGGATGAACGACGATGCATTTGGCGCAGGCGGATTCAATCGCGTTGCGGGCGAGAGAGATAGGGAGTATGTTCTCGTCAAGAACGACGGAGTAGAAGGTGGTTGGGCCCTCGGAGTCGTACTGAACAAGGAAGAGGGCAAAGCTCACAAGCCGATCAACGTGGACCTACCAGAGCGCCCTGCTGAAGAAGAACAAGAATGGGAGGACGATGAAGACTTCGAGGACGTTCCCATCGAGGGCCTGAACAGGCTGCCAAAGCCCAAGGGGGGCTTGAGCGCCCAAGAGAAGGAGGGCCGTGAGTTCATCGCCAACGAGCTTGCGACACGACGCAGAAACCTTTACAAGTCGAGGAAAGAGAAGCCAGTACAGTCTAAACCACAAAGGGCTACGCCGGTCAACCAAGATCCAGATTCGTTGTTCCTTGCGGACGATAACGAAGAAGAGGAAGATTGGGAGAACGTTCCGATGAGCGGTGCGAACGATGTGGATGATGCAGGGGATGATGTCGAGAACGAGCAGTTACAGCAAGCCATTGCCTTGTCAATGCAGCCCGAGAAGCAAGCGGTTGCTGAAGAATCTGACGACGATCCAGTGCGTGAAGTTTTTGAACAGAAACGTGCCGCTGAAGCCAATCCTTTCGCTGGGACGAAGGGTTCTGGAATGGCTATCGCAAGGCTTGCAAATCAACGCAGTAACAAGCTTGCTCCAAAAGGCCCCTTTGAAGGAAGCGACAGCGAAGAGGATATGGACTTGCAGGCTGCACTAGCGGAGTCTCGCAAGTCCAAACGTCCAGTTAAGCCAAAGAAATCGTCATTTACACAACAGCACCCAACACCAGCACCCGCTGTCAAGTCTACGCCAAAGCCGAAGGACGCTGCCGGTTTTGATGGGCCGCTACCCTTCGAAAGACTCAACCTAGGCAACTCTCTTTTAGGCAAGAAGAAAATGGACAAGCTCGAAGAAGACAACGCAGGCGGTTTCGAAAAGGACTATGGGCAAGATAAGAAGGATGCCGTGCCACTTCCACCGTGGTTCAGCGGCCAAAGAGATATTGCAAAAGAAGTGAATGCTCAACGGCAAGAAGAGAAGGAACAGTGGGAAGAAGCACGTCAGGAGGAGAAGTCCAGATTCCAGTTCCAGCAGCTCCCAACCCTTCGAAAGCCAGAGACCAAAGAAGTTATTGATTTAGATGCGCCAGCTAGCCAAAATCAGGACCAAGTGATTGCAATCGACTCAGACGACGAGGCTGATGCACAGATGGAAGACGTTCCAGTTGAGGATACCAAATTGAGGATGGGCGATCTCGCTGACAAAGTCAAGGCGGAGCCCCCTAAACCGCTTTCTCCGCAGCAGAAGTCGCCTCCCCGCCAAGATCCTAGTCTGGTGAAGAAGACCCCATTTGCGGATGATTCTGATGATGAGCCAGTGGATTGGTCTGAGAGCGAGCCTGAAGATGAAAGACATGTACAGCATAAGTCGACCGCTGACGGGAAGTCAGAACCAACCGTTGTGCAGCCTCCAAAGTCTGCATCCGAAGAATCCGAGGAGTTCGAGGATGTACCCATGCAAACGGAGACAGCCGCTTTGACTGAACCCGCCAAGTCGGCATCGCCAGAGTTTGAGGACGTGCCTATGCAGGGCGAACCTGTTGCAACAGCAGCTCTACAACCAAAGTCACCATCGCCAGTGTTTGAAGATGTTCCCATTCGCCAGGAACGACCACGTCGACCACCAAGGGAGCTATCGCCTTTACAAGGTCCAGACGATCTGACAAAGCCTATCGTTCCTCACAGTGGCGTAGCAGATGACAGCGCACCTTTAGAAATGCCTGAAGGCAACGACTCGGACCAGTACTCCGATCCTGAGGACGAAGAACTCTTCGCATCTCTAGCGAAAGAAGCAGAAGAGCATGCGCGATTCGCTCAAGAACTGTCCAACAACACTGCAGCCAGGGTCAATTTCGATGACGAGCTCAAACAGCTCCGCGCACAGCAAAAGAAAGACCGTCGAGATGCGGATGAAGTCACCCAGACCATGATATCCGAGTGCCAGCACTTGTTAACTTTGTTCGGATTGCCGTACATCACAGCGCCTATGGAAGCCGAAGCTCAATGCGCTGAACTGGTCACACTTGGCCTTGTGGACGGCATCGTGACCGACGACTCCGATACCTTCCTCTTCGGTGGTACGCGTGTCTACAAGAACATGTTCAACGCAGCCAAGTTTGTCGAATGCTACCTCGCCCAAGACCTCACCAATGAATTCAGCCTCACACGCGAGAAGATGATTGCAATCGCCCAATTACTTGGCAGCGACTACACAACAGGCATTCCAGGCATCGGGCCCGTGACCGCGCTTGAAATCCTCTCCGAGTTTCAAGACCTAGAGTCTTTCCGAACATGGTGGGATGGCGTCCAAAGTGGAACTATCAAGAAGGAAGAAGACGCAAAGAAACCGTTCCGAAAACGGTTCCGCAAGAACCAGGCTACCAAACTCTTTCTACCACCAGGGTTCCCAGATCCTCGCGTAGCGGAAGCTTATCTTCATCCCGAGGTCGACAGTGACCCTGAGCCGTTCCAATGGGGCGTCCCCGATCTGGCTGCTTTGCGTTCTTTCTTGAGTTCTCAGATTGGATGGAGTCCTGAGAGGACGGATGAGGTGCTTGTTCCTGTTATCAAGGATATGAATCGCAGGGAGAAGGAGGGCACGCAGGCGAACATTACTCGGTTCTTTGAGGGGGGTGTCGGGGCTGGCGCTTTTGCGCCGAGAGTGAGGAATGCGGAGAGTGGGCCGAGTGGGAAGAAGAAGGGTACTGGGGCGGCTGGAAAGAGGTTGGGTGCTGCGTTGAATCGATTGGCGGGGAAGGATGGAGAGGTAGGAGATGGAGTGGCGACTGCAGGTGGAGAGGCAGAAGCCGTGCATGAGACGACTACTGGTGGAACAGGCAGGAAGAAGAGGAAGGCTGCAAGTAAGCCTGTGTCGTTGGCTGAAAAGGAGGATGGAGATGCGACTGCCAGTGTTGAGGAAGAGGAAGAAGATGAGCTTTACAAGGAGCCCACAGCGAAGAAACCACGGAAGACGCGGAATGGGAAAGCAGCCAAGTAACTTGGAACAATCTCGATATCATCTATCATTACATCTACCCAACCCTTATCTTACACAATACAACATCCATTCTAATGTCCTCATAACTTCACACTCCTGCCCTCAATCTTCTTCAAGTCCTCTACCGTGAACCTCTTATAAGTCCCGTCCCTCAACCAATACAACGTATCCCCCTTCTCCTCTACAACCCCCGGATCAATCCCCTCCTTCTGCAACTCGACCTTCTGCTGCTTATTAGTCCCCGTCAACTGCATCTCCCTGGTAACCCGAATCCAAACAGGCACCGCAAACGCGGGCAACTCCTTCTTAACATGCTGCGCCAGCTCCGCAAGCAACCTCTCCCCCACCTCACCAACCCCCTGCTCAAACACAACCGCCGCACACCCCGCGCGCCCATCATGTCCCGGAACACTAACACCATATACATTCGCCTCAGCAACACTGTCGTGTTTGCCCACGGCCTCCGATACCTCAGCCGTAGACACATTCTCCGCTTTCCAGCGAAACGTATCGCCAATGCGATCGACGAACCAAAACCTTCCTTCCGCGTCCCAGCGCATGAGATCGCCAGACCGGAAATACGCGTCCCCTTTCGTCTTGACATCGCGAATAATCTTCGAGTTCGTCGCCTTCTCGTTGCCGTAGTAGCCCTGGAACCCGTCTTTTATATTGTCCGCATCCAGTTTACCGAGTAACTCGCCAGGTTCGTTGTAATCGCTGATGTGACACAGACCGGTTTTGGGGTCGCGGAGGGGCTCCGGGGGATCGGCGTTGGGATCCATACGCACGAGGGTGAGTTTGCGCGTCATGAGGAAGTTGGCGAGGAGGCCGTTGCGGGCGATTGCGCCGCTGGAAAAGGAGTTTGAAGAGCAGTTGAAGAGGCCGCCGGGGGCTTCGGTTGCGGCGTAGAATTCGTAGATGGTGCTGATGCCGAAGCGTTGTTTGAAGGGCTCCCAGACGTCTGGGCGCAGGCCGTTGCCAAAGGCGGCGCGGAGGTGGTGTTGTCGGTCGAGGGGCGAGGGCGGCGCGGAGAGCAGGTAGCGACATGTTTCGCCGACGTAGTGCAGGATTGTGGCGTGCGAGGAGCGGATTTCGGGCCAGAAGGTTTTGTGGGAGAATTTCTTGGAGAGGTGGATTGTGCTGCCGGCGCGGAGGACGGCGCAGGCGCCCAAGACGGAAGCGGAGCTGTGGTAGAGGGGCATGGAGGTGTAGACGATGTCGTTCTTTAGTGACATCCAGCTTGCGGCGAACTTTGCGCCGCCGCCGCATTTGCCCCAGGACATTACGGCGGGTTTGGGCAGGCCCGTCGTGCCGGATGTGTAGATGAGCATGGCCATGCTGCTACGCTTTTGGTCGGAGCGAGCCGAGTCGGGGAGGCGCGTCGGCGGGTGCGTGAGGATGGTCGAGGTCAGGGCGTCGTCGAAGAAGATGATTTCGAGGTTTCGCTGCGCAGTCAAAGGCTCAGAGACGGCGCCCGCTTCGACGGCCGCTTGGGGAGTCTGTGTCTGGTTCTTGACTGATTGTGGGACGTCGGACGGTTCCTGCTCAAACGTGTATTTGACCTTGTCTGCGTGGTGGACGCGAGTGAGGCCATGCTCCTTCAGCGCATCTTCGCTGAACTTGTCCCTGCTCTCCTGGTCCACCAGCACCAGGCGCGCGGTGCTCGTCTTGACCGTATGAACCAGCGGCTTACCGGAGAGGTTGTAATTGATAAAGGCGGGCTTTGCGCCAATGCTCCAGAGGCCGAACCAGACCCAGATGAAGACGTCCGAGTTGACAAAGTCCATTGCGACAATCTCATCCTTGTCCACGCCCTTGCTCTTCAGCCAGTTCCCGTACCGCAGCACGACGTCGTAAGCCTGCGCATACGTCCATGTCTTGCCCTGGAAGATGATCCACGCATGGTCTGCGCGCGCAGAGGAGCGGGCATGCGCCTCGAGTTCGTAGAAGAGGTTCAGCGTGTCGCGTCGTTCCTGCTGCGCGCCGACGATGCTGCTGCCGATGAAGGACGACAAGAGGGGCCAGTCGTAGGTGAAGCCATGGCGGCCATTAAGATACGCGAGACCAGCTGCGGCGGCGGGCAGCGCAAAGGGAAGAACTGGCAGTGCAATGTGTCAGCGAGCTGCGCCGTGTGGTTACAGGCTGAGTGACGCGAGATTACCTGACATAACCGGTAACCAATAGATCTGGAGCAACAACGAAACGTATAAAAAAATGCTACAACCGCGCAATGTCCAGTATTCGCATAGACAAAAGATGAGACTTGATCAGATACAATCCACTCATCAACTTTCCGCGACACCCCGTTGTCGCCAGCTAGTGACGTTTGACCACACAGCTAGCGGCAGTGGGCACCATGGGAGCTGTGGAGCCGAGGCATTTAGGGGCACCCCAGTCGTCTCTCGAGTAAGCCTTCCAACCTCCCCTCCGATATCCTGAGGTGGCTGCATTCCCCTCATCGCCCAGACATGGCCAACCTCTTGCGTTGCCCGTGGAAAGCCACATGCTGCTCCACGTCGGTGGCATGTGAAGTATAGTAAACTATCGGCAAGACGATGGCTACACGTCACGTCTGGAAGCTGTGACACGCACAAAGAAGACATGTCAGTATCATAGTCAAACAATCTCAAGTAGGATTGCCGCTTGCGGCAGCCACCGCAGCTGTTTGCTTCAGATGGCCTTTGTCCAGTACCCGGCCATCATGACAAAGACGCCTCCAGACTACTGCACACTCAAATGCCGTCCGGCATCACGGCAAGAGGCGTATCGATTTTCCACTTGATCAGGTTCAAGAGTCGTCTGAAGCATAGACGTCTTGGTATGTTTGCTACATGCATGAATGAAGTGTCATCTGCTAATGCGCTCAAGTGAGCAAACATTGTCCCAGATCAAGACAGGCGCTTCCAGTAGTATTTGGCGTCTGCAAATCGCAACCTTGAGATAGCCCTATCCCCAGATCACATGGATATCTCAGCTTTCGAACACGTCCCTCCAGTTAGCAAGGAGGAGCCGACACAGCGAGAGATCAACGACAGACGATTAGCTCAAGCGATCCGCTACCTGGATAACGAAGGAGGCGATGACACTGATAGCACTTACATGAATCACGTTGAGAGGATCGACGAGGATCTCCTCCAGCGACTTCCTCCGCAAGAGCGCAACTTCGACGACCAGCTGTATGAGCGCGCGCAAGCTATGATTCGTCAAGCGCGGCTCGAATATGAGGAAGAGGTTGCGCGAGAATATTCATCGTCTTCGTTAGGCGGGGATTCCCCTAAGCCGATGATGATAGAAGACGTACCAGACTCCTACACGCCTTCTGCAGCGCAAGCTCTTTACCGAAGAGGCGATACACCGGACGAACCTCAGGCCATGCCCCGCAAACAAGTGCCTGCGGCAGAAACAAAGGTACGGCGCGAGGAACGGTTCAAGTACGGTGGCCCGAACAACGAACCTGAAAGGTGGCACAAGAACTATCCAGCCTCGCTGCCGTTTCCAGAGACCTTCCAGATGGCGCATTGGGAGAGTCTCAAGATTGACTTTGATCTTTCCGAGTCTGGCAAGAAAATGAAGGCAGAGGGCAAGATTGTCGAGACCAACATACCTTTTGATCGCCCTGAATTGGAGCAGTACAAGAACCTCCCGGTATACGAGTCTGGGTCACGCTTCAAGCTTCCCATACCCAGTGCCGAAGTTCAAGAGGAGATCAGCAAGTTGGGAACTCCTGGAAGCCTGGCAGAGATTGTGGAAGGATGGAACCAAAATGATGATAAAGTGCGCGCCGGCAACTATAAATATGCGCCACGAGTCTTCCTGGACAAATTCTCCGCAGGAACTCAAGGTGAGCAATGTAGTTTTCTTTTGGATGTGTCTCGCTAACATTAACCTAGTAGATCCTACAACGATCCGCGATGCTGTCAACACGACACCTGTCAAGTCTCGTACTGGTGCTATGGGCCGCAGTATTGATCAGCCACGCCTAGAAGACGAGGATGCGCATGCTATAGGGGACAAAGCTCGTGCCGCACAGTCGGCAGCTCGCATAGCTCGTGAAAAGGTCCGTAAGGCAGAGGAAGCTCTCAACGCAGCAAAGCAGGCGAACCTGGAAATACCTACACGAACCCCACAAACCACTTCACCTGTCGCTAGGAAGCTCAACCGAGAGCGGGCGACATCCCTCGAGCGTAGCCCGAGACGCCAGAGCGGTGTCAGTACTGCAGCTCCCAGTCCTGCATCGCCGGATAAGACTAGTATCCATCCACAGGTAGTCATTCCGAAAAGGCCAAATGATCGTCAGACAAAGCCTACCCCAGATCAGACCAACGTCGCTACCCCCAAGACTACCACCAAGAAACAGCCCAAGCGTAAACGCAGTCTCAGCGAACAAAACTACACCCCCGAGACCAAGCGTTCAAAGTCTATCGTCTCTTCCTCGCGGAAAAGCAGCAGAACCAAAACGCAAAAGTCTCCAGATAAAGCCGTCCACTTCCAGCCCGATGAATCTGACGACTCCAACGAGCTTTCTGACGACGACCTCGCAAAAGATGTCCAGGAATTCACCACTGTTGTCACGTCCACCAAGACCAAGCCTACCAAAAAGACCACCAAAACCACAGCGGTTACGAAGAAGATGAGCAAAGCGGCTGCAGCAGGTAAAGCGGCGCGTAAAGCGAAGGCAGGGAAAGAGGTTGATCTTGATGACGAACATGCGATCCAGATGGCGAAGGAGCGGAGGGCGAAGTCGCCAGGAAGGGTTGTGAAGGGGAGTACGAGGAGTGGAATGAAGTATTTGAAGGGGTGAGGTGGTGATACTGGGGTAGTTGTATTGGTGGTTTGGGGCTGGGATGATGAGTTTGATAGAGTTTATTTTGTAATCATTCAATACCAAATTGTTTCTCCCTGCTCTCGAGACAACTGGGAACTTCGCATTGTTGCGAGGTAGCTTCGTCTGAGTCGTCATCCCCGCAAATGCAGCTCCGAACAATAAGCGGGGCATCACG